TCCTCGGGCCGCGCCCCCGGCGCCGCGCCTGCCGCCGCCAAGAGCCACCGCTGCCCGTTCCCGGGCTGCGCTAAAGCCTACTACAAGTCCTCGCACCTTAAGTCTCACCTGCGGACACACACAGGTGAGCCAGACCCTGGGCACCCCCTCCCCCCGCCGGGACCCCGAAACTGCGTGGCGCGCGGGGGGCGGGGAGGGGGGCGCGCCCTAGCCGCTGCCGCCGCGCCGGGCGGGAGGGAGAAGAGAAGGCGGAGGGCGGTGCCTCGGTGGGTGGGGCGCGCGGGGGGGGGGGCGTGGCGGCCACGCGGTCCAGGCACGCTGATGGCTGCCTTGGTGGGACCGTATGCACCGGGCCCGGCTGGGTTGGGGATCTGCGACTGGCTGTGGCCAGGCCGGCACTCCCAGCCATCCTGTCCTGGGGATGAGCGCGGTGGATGGAGCCCTCCAGGCTCTTCCTTTCCAAAGCTTCAGTTTTCTTATCTGTAAAAAGGGCGGAGCCACGTTGCCGCTTCACCTCTTCGGGGTGGCTGAGCAAACTGGGCCGGGAGGGCGGTGGGGGGGCGTCTGGCGCTGGTCCCGGGGCAGGGAAGGATGGGCACAGCACGTTTTCTTACCGATGCTGTGAGCTTTGGAGAGCGGAGGGCGGGGCTGGGCTCGCCGGTGGAGGGGCTTAGTCTGGGGCAGATGAAGACTTGAGGTCCTCACCACGTTGTCCAAGCGCACTTTCCCCGCCACCAGGGGACGGAACCAGAAAGGTGCTGGGCTTTGGAGAAGGACTCAGGAATACTAACACCTTCACAGCATGGCCCTGAAAGCCGCTGAGAGAGCCCGGAGCCAGACGGGCCCTGGTCACCCCCACCCCGTTCCCTTGTGGGCTACGTACACCCTTCTGCTGCCCCTCATGGGCCCCCACTATCGCTACTTTAAGAGTTCTCTGTGTTACGGGTTTATGCTGGAGTCGGGGAACCGTTCGTCTTGGTGGCAGGCCTGGCTTTGGGCACTGGGAGCACAAGCAAAGTCAAGGGGCAGGTTCAGGGCTGGACTTTTGTATGCATCCTAAGGCCTCGGTTTCTTCTGCCTCTGCCTGCTAGGATTGATGGGGAGGTTTCTTGGCACCGCCCTTGGTCTGCTGCTGGTTGGAGCCTCGGTGCCCAGGTGAAGCGAGGCCCTCCCATGCCATGTGGAGGAACCCAGTCTCTGTCTTTGGGGTGTGGGGGAGCCACAGTGGAGGCCCTAATGGTGGGGCTGGAGAATCGAGAAAGGAGGGGAGAAGGCCTTTTCCTGAGGTCCCCGCCACCTGCCTGTAAGCACAGACTGACTGGACCCAGTGTTCAGTTTCTTCAGGCTTCTCCATCTCTAGTGGGTGCTTTCTCCTTAAGCAGTGGAATCCTAGAGTCTCTGCTAGACGCACTTTGAGGAGTGTTTGAACATAGTGAAGTTCCTATGGGGGGAGAAGAAAGGGAACTACTTCTTTGGGCCACTAACTGGGCAAAAGAGTGTCCCACCCCAGGACTCCCACCTCGGAAAGCCCAGGTGGGAATCTAGTATAAAAGGAACCCCATCTTTTTCACTGCTGCACCCACAGCCTACCCCCTCACTGTCCCCAGTGAGCTTTGCCCTACCCTCTCCCACTCCGTGCCCACTAGCTAGATTTGTTTTTTCCAGCCCCCTTCTGATACTGCCTGGGTGTGGTGAAAGTGGTGGTCAAGCCACTTTCTACCTTGCCACCAAGGAGTATATGCTGAAGGCTGTCTCCTACCTCTGCATGTCTGTGGACCCCAGGTGATGGTGTTGGTGGCCCCTAAACCATGTGCAGAGATAGCAAGAATGTCACCTCCCAAGAGGGGTTACAGAGACACTGTTGCCAACACATAGTGTGGGGCTGGGATGGACTGGAGACTTTGAGGGCCCCAGAACTCAGGTTCCAGAGGGTTTGGGGCATTTATTCAATGTCTCCTGCCCATCCCTCACCCAGGACCCCCATGGTCTCTTTATAAGTCAGCCCCCACAAGACCAGAATCTTGCCTCCTTACCCCATTACTTATAGTTCCTTTTAAGGGTGTGTTGACCTGGGTGTCCCAAAGCTCTCTGGCCCCACAGGGTTGTAGGAGGATGCATTACCCACATGTTGTTCTGTAGTTTGGGACTGGGCAGGTTGGAGATAGATAGGCTTAGGAGCCATAATTAGGTACCTGCTGTCTGCAGAACCTTAGCCCTAAGGCACTTCAGAGTGAAAGTCCTGCCCCTCCCCGCTGCTGAGGCAGGTTGTTGTCTTGGTAAAGAAAAACTTTTACCCCAAATCCATTGTTATCTATGTGCCCCATGTGTTCCAGAGTAGTGTTTGTTAGAATAAGGTGCTCCTGGCTGTAATATTTGTAAAAGCAGACCATGCCAAAAGTTTGCACCACTGGGTGGCTTCAAACCATCAAAAAGCACTTGTATCATTCAGGAACCTTCCATCTTGGCAAAGGAGATGACATCACGTCCTGGCCCTGGCCCATTTTTCAGATGAATAAATCGAGGCACAGAACAATGGCCCGGGCTGATGTGTATGGTGCCCTGTTTGGCTCGGGATGGGATAATGGGATTTTTCAAAGTGGGACACCCAGCTGTGGGGTCTGGGGCAGGGGGGATGGGGTTCCAGAGATGCACGCAGTGCCCCCCTGTTTGTGAACCACATTCCTGGCCCAGCCAGTGCTGGCCAATGTGCTTCTGCGTGGGGTGGGAAGGGACTTTGGAAGCTGCTGGAGATGTTGACAACGTTGCCATGGATACTGAGAGTGTGAGCTCAGAGATAGGGTGGGGGCGGGAGCAGAGGCTGGCTGTCTCTTCTCTGCTTTTGAACCACCTTCGTCTCTGGAAACGACAACCCCACCCCCCAGATTCCCCAATGCCGGGCACATGGACTTCTCGCACCTTCTGAGTGTCTCTGGCCCCGTGGTGCTGGGAGGGCCTAGAGGAGAATCTTAGTTGTACCCCTGGGCACTGCTGACGTGAGAACCGCATCCTTCTCTGGGTGGGCTGTGGGGTACACTGTGAAGTGTTGAGTAGCATCTCTGACCTCCACCAACTTGATGCCAGTTGCTCACCTCCCTCATTTGTGACACTTGCAAATACCCTCAGACATTGCCCAGTGACCCCTGGGGGGCAGGAATCACCCTCTGGTAAGAATCCCTGGTCTAGTCTGAAATCCCATTTACTTAAATCTGAGAAACATTTGAACACCTACTCTGTACCAGAGCTTTAAAGGCAACAGGGATCCCAGTGACAAACCGACCCACTCCGTGACCCCTGAGACTCAGAACTTTTATGTGTGTGGGCAGCAGCAGGGATTGGGCTAGGTTGGAAGCGTGTGTCTCTGGAGAAGGAACAGCATTGCTGAAGCCCCAGAGGACCTGGGTAGAGGCCCTTGTGCATGGGGTTTGAGAATGAGATGGGGAGCAGGTGAAGGGTTCCACTTAATCCCAAGGGTGGGGGGAGTGGGGGCTTGGCTTTGCAAAGGAAAATCTGTTTATGGAGAAGAGATTATGGGGTTCCGAGAGAGACCTTGAGGAGCATGGATCTGCCCTCTTCTATGAGAAAGAGGGGTGGGCAGACCCACAAATTGGGTCAGAGGGGCAAGTCCTAGGACAGAGGATTACAGGAGGCAGGCTCAGGAAGAGGGCCAAACTGGAAAAGAGGCCCAGAGATACAGGCAGCTCCCACCAACCCCAAGCAGGAGCTGTTAGCTCTCTGATGGTCAGGGTGGTCACAGGATGGGCTTTTATCTGAGGGGCAGTGCCAGGCCCTAAGAGAGCAGTGGAAGAAGGGGTAGGGATGGTATGTGTCAGCCTTTGGCTGGTACCCACCTCCTCTGCCCAGTGGGTGGGGTGGAGGGCTCCTGTTTCCTGCAGCCTGAGGGTGTGGGTCTGATGACATTGTGGGGTGATAACCACCTCTTGCTAAACTCCTAGATAAAGATGGCTCAGGCACACCAGGAGTTGGTGAATGATACCAGGACTGGGTGGGCCGCTCAGGCCCTGAGATCTCCCCAGAATGGCAGGAGCCCAGCACGCATGCTCCCCTCCTCCTCTCCAATAGAGATGTTGGTTGGGGAAGTAAGCTGGGATGGGGGTCCCCTCCCCTGTAAATGAATGGGTTAGTGATACTCCTCAGGGATGGCTTGCGATCAGCAGGCACCACAGAGATGAGCGGTCCACACCTGCTGTCTTCGCTTCTGTAAGAAGGAGCCACGGTTTGGTTGTCCAGGCTGGTGGGCTCTCTGCACACATAAGTATCAGGTACCTGCTGCATGCCAGGTCTGGTCCTGGGGACCCAGCTATGAGCAGAGTACCCTCAGAGCTGACAAAGGTGTGTGTGGGGGGGAGACACGACTCACAGCAAAACCATCAAAGTGGGTGACAGCTGTGGGGGAGCGGGATGGCAGGACCACCAAGGAGAGATCTCACTGGGGAGTGATACTAAGCAGAGACCAGACTGTGTGTGTTTTGGGGGTGGGGGAGCATCTGAGAAGCCAAGTGAGTTGGGGGTGGGTCTGAGAGAAGGGCCGAGGGTGCCAGGGGCTCTTGGGGCTGATGTAGGGAGCTCAGACTTGGTAACTTCAGGGGTTCCTACACCTTCCGGGTACACTGGGGGGTTGGCTGGTGGGATTTGCTGACTGGCAGGTGAGCTGTTAGGAGATGGCCAGGGAGAAAAGGCTAGAAGGCTCACTGCCAGGGGACCCCAGCCTCTGCCTTGAGCGGCCAGTCAGCCGCTGAGCCGCTTGAATGCCTTCTAGGTTCTTGGATACCTGTTCAGCTCTCACGTCCTTTACCCCCCGCCCTCAGGGATGGCAAGTGCTCCCGACACTGAGGCCAAGCAGCCAGAGACACCCACACCCACACACCCCGATAGATAGCGGGACCAAGCGCCCAGGACCATGTGGCCTCCAACTTCCGGAGCACTTTGCTGGGCAGTCCCGCTATCCTGGGCTCACCCGCGCAGCCTGAGTCAGGAGGGTCAAGTTCACCGCAGCCCCGCCCACCCGGCTCCCACTGTGTTCTCCTTTCTGTGCCGGCTCCGGGGATCTGAGGCCTGCCTGCTTCGTTGTACCCTAAGATGTCATATACACTCCCCTCCGGCGAGGGGACTGTGGCCAGTGGGGGTTTGGCATTGGAGAGGCCCGGGAGTGACGCTTGCGCGCCCACCACTCCTGTGCGCGCACCACCCGCACCACCCACGTGCACAGCGTGCTCCGTGGAGACCGGCGGGGGCGGGGCTGGCAGGCGGGGAGACCCGCCGAGGCGACCCTGGTCCGGGCCCCAGTCCCCGGCGGGGGAGCGGCCACGTGAGCCAGCCTACGTGCGGCAGCTGTGTTCCCAGCGGCTGCACGCGCCTCCCCTTTCAACCTGCTCCCTGCGAATTGGAGGGGGCGAAGGCTGAGAGCTGAGCCTGGAGCCCCAAAAGGGGAAGTGAGCGAGCTGCCCAGCAAACTGGAGGGAGGGGGGGCGGTCCCATTCTTTAAGCCTCCACCCTGCAAGATGGCGACAGGGCTACTTGTGCCTTGGGGACCTCGGGCCCCATCGGTAGCCAGCAGCTCTTCCCCTGTAACCACGGCCCCCTTCTCAGCCCTAAACCCCCAGGAGCTGGTGGTTTTCAATGACCACACTTAGCGGCTAAGGGCTATTTGGAGCCCCTTGGTTTTCTAGGAGATAATTTCATGCCGGGACAGGTCCCTGCCGCACCCCCCACCCCCACCCCTCTGTTGCTTGCTGCCTCTGCCATCAGGGTCTGCGGGAGGTGTGGGGTGGGAAGGCTGTCAGCCCCAGAGTTTGAGGACGCTGGTGATCTTGGACCTGTCATATCACCCCCAGAGGTGGCGGCAGCCTCCCTTCCCGCTGTGCCTGGGGCCACAACTCACGGGACTGCCCAACCCCCACTGTGTGTTGGCCTTCAGCCTTCCTGTGGGACATTTCTCTGTCTCTGGGGGTTGGGGGCTTGCTGCTCCCTGAATCTGCTCTTCCTTGGCACCCCACTACCTCCCCCTGCTCTCCCCACCTCCCCCCCTCATCCCTTTTCCCGGGGCAGCCAGTGAGAGCGGAGATATCACGGCGTCGCCCCTAGAATCTAGGCACACCCCTCTCCGTGGCTGTAAGTCTGCCCCAGCGCTCACTCTTGGGTCCCTGTTCCCCTCTGTGCCCTTCACCCAGGTCCCTGACCCCCAACTGAACGATCGCTCTGTAGTTAGCACACCCCGATCGGTGTGTTCTAGGATGTAGACTCTTGGTCTCCTGAGTCCCCGCAGGTCCTAGTGTGTAGCCCATGATGTGACTGTCCCCTGCTCATTGCGACCCAGCTGGGCTTTACTTAAAGTTAGGCCTAATTGTGGGGAACTTAGTCCTGGCCTGCTCCCATTTTCCTCATTTAGTGTCAAGAGGATCTTGAACACGGACGTGGACCCCCCCCAAATTCCATCCACTCCCCCATCCAAGCCCATGGGGCTTCTGGCATTGGTTGGACCGGGATTTTGGGGTTCGTGTACTGGGGCGAGGTCCGAAAAGGCGCCAGCCCTGGGTGCGCGCCTGGCCACTTGTTCCTGGGTGTGGCCAGAGGCAGTCAGAACTGGATGCTTTTTAAAGAGCTGGAGCCTGAGGGACTGGTCTAAGGGTGGACCTATCTGCCCCTGTCCGGCCCTTGGCGCCCGTAGTCTGCAGTGGAGACCGTTGAGAGAACGCCGCGGGCGGGCGCGCAGTCGGTGAGATGGGTGGGGGTCGGACCTGGAATCCCTGACGCGGCGCCAGAGACAGGACAGGCGGGGCCGAGCTCACGGTGGGAGGGGTCTGTGGAGGAAGTGGAGGGTGGCGGCCACCCCTCCAGCGCCATCTGCTCCATGGGGGCGGGGCAGTCTTGGCGGTGGCGCCAGCCCCCATCCTTTCCCGGAGGTCCCGCCCCCGCCTCGGTGCTGGGCTGCAGGTGGCTTGGAAGGCCCCTCAGATGTCCTCCTGCCTGTCCCTCTGCCTATAGAGGGGCACGAGTGTCAGCACGCTTGAGAGGCTGTCCTGACATTCACATAGCCTTTGTAGCTCCCTGGGTCTCTGCGTCCTTTGGAAACAGGGCGTTGGAAACGGGAACACCTGGGAAGCTACAGAAAGCCCCAACGACCCCCCCGCAGGAGTGGGCGAGGGTCGGACATGAGTGAGGGACGGTTGTGTGGGCTAGTGGTGGACACGGGTGTCGCCGCATGACCTGTTTATGTAACCATCGTCTGCTCCAGAAACCGACTGCGACCTGCGTGTGTACTGAGCGCATGTACATGTGGGGGGACACCTTTCCAGATCGCCCACGGGGGTCACATCCTGGGAAAGCTTCAGCTTCATCCTAGATAATCTTTTTTCTTCATGTAGTGAGAATATATATAACAGAAACTACGCCCTGCCATTTTTTACTTGTATAATTCAGTGACGTCATGTTCATCATTTTGTGCTATCGTCTCTAGTAGCCGTTTGTAGCTCTGACCCTTACCAGAACCTCAGGGCCCCCTCCCTCACACCCCAACCCATAGTGACCTTGTATAGGGTTTCCGAGGAGTTGCTGGTGAGCTTGAACCGCCAACCTTACAGTTCAAACCGCTTTGCAGTCTGGCACATTAACCCACAGCGCCACACCAGGACTCCTGGTTGTTAGGTGCCATCAAGTCCATGCCAACTCATTGCAAGCCTGTGTAACAGTAGAACTGCCCCAGAGGGCTCTTGTGGTAGCTCGGCAGCAGATAGCACGTCTTACTTAAACTGGAGGCTGCTGGGTGGATTCAAACCACTCTTGGTTAGCAGCTGAGTGATTAACCACTATCAGACTTGGACTCCTTTGAAGGCACATGGGTTTTGAAGGAGCCCTGGTAGCATAGTACATTAAGTGTTGATTGTTAACCTCAAGATCGAGATGGTTCAAACCCACCAATTGCTTGGAGAGAGAGATGAGGCTGTTCCCCTAAAGATTTACAGTTTCTGAAAACCTGTAGGTTCGCTGTGCATCTGCAGAGAGGATTTTAAACTTATACCCCAAATTCACTGCGTTTGATTCGTCTTTCTCCTCCTTCTCTTTGCATTACTTTGAATTTTATTCTTTCTCTGCTTTTGTTTATCCTTTTCTTCTGTTTCCTGTTTCCCCTTTCTTCCTTTTTGATCTTTCTTTACTATTGTCTCTACTATAAGGAGCTCTGGTAGCGAAGTGGTTGTGAGACGGGCTGCCAACCTCAAGGTGAGCAGTTCGAAACTACCAGTGGTTCTGTGAGAGAAAGATGAGGTGTTCTACTCCCGTAAAGATTTACAGCCTCGGAAACCCTGTGCAGGGTCACTATGAGTCCGAACCGACTCCATGGCACATAACAACAACAACCCCAAATTCTGTTTCTAGACTGGGGGGCGCATGTGTGGTAACTGGAGGCCCTAACTGCTCCTTTTAAAGAGGAAGGTGAGCCTGAGGTGTCACTCCACTGACGGATGTCTGTCCTCTGCTCCATCCAGGTGAGCGTCCCTTTGCTTGCGATTGGCCCAGCTGTGACAAGAAGTTTGCTCGCTCGGATGAGCTGGCCCGCCACCACCGGACCCACACGGGGGAAAAGCGTTTCCACTGCCCACTCTGCTCCAAGCGCTTCACCCGCAGTGACCATCTGACCAAGCACGCTCGCCGCCACCCCGACTTCCGCCCAGAACTGCTCCGGCGTGGTGCCCGCAGTGCCTCACCCAGCGACTCACTGCCCTGCAGCCTGGCTGGCAGCCCCGTGGCCAGCCCCTCGGCCAGTCCTGGCCCTGCAGGCCTGTAGGGTGCCTGGCCCCTTGCAACGGAGCACCAGCAGCACCCAGGGGGACAGGGTGGGGGTGGTGGACAGGGAGTGCTGACCCCTGCCAACCACCTCCTGTGGACCCTGGGCACGTCCTCCAGAAAGTACAGCCGGGCCCTGAGCTGAACCGGGTCAGGGATTCTCAGTGGGTGGCTGGGGTCTGCAGAAAGGAGTGCATCCATTTCTGCATGTGTAAATAGCCACAATTGTTAACTCTCCTTGTATCTGTTAAACCAGGGACCCCAGAGGGGTGGCCAGTAGGCCACGCCAGGGTCCCTCCCACCACTTCCCTATTTCCACTGGGGACGGGCTTCCCAGGAAAGGAGCCCCCTACCCAGGGCTGGGACTACTCCGCCCCTTAGGCCCCTGTTACCTTCTGGTTTGGGATGAATTTTGCAAAGAGCCATAGATGAACCAGGGGTCAGTGTGGGCCCCACCCCACCCCACCCTGGGGCGCCCAGCCCCACCGAAAGCCATTGGAGATGTTCAGGGAAATGGGGTGGCCCAGCCACCTCCTCGGGTACTCAATCTCAGGTGTCCCGGGTTCTGCCCCTTGCCCCCAAAAGGGGCCACCCTGTGGACTCAGACTGGGGTGGCGGGAGGGTATTAGGGTTTCCATAGGAGTCCCGGGGTTTTGGGGTGGGGGCAGGAAGACCCCGGGGTTGCTTCCAAAGAGTATTGTGACTCACTTTTGGGGGAGGGGGAGGCAGGGACAGGGTCCACGCCGGGAGCAAACACGGCTTTATTTATTTCCCTCTCTGTCTTGCTGGCGTGAGGGCTCAACTGCCCTGTGTGGGTATCTGTGTGTGAAAGAGATTCTTGGGGGAGGCTGGCACCCTGGGCCCGGCCTCCCAGGTCCTGAAGGGGTAGGGTCCCCGACTTTGGCCTTCCACAGTGTCTCGTGACAATCAATCCCAAACATTCAGGATCCCAACAGCCATTGGGTATAATACACCACCACCCCCATTTGCAAGTGGGGTGTAGGACCTGGCCCAGCCAGGACCACAGGCTCTGCATCTTGCACCTGTCTCCTCCCCCCTCCCCCCAACATCCTCTCTTCCTTCTGGGTGCCTGGAAGAGACAGCCCCTTGACCACACAAGGTTGAGGTTCTGGAACCTTCCACGTGGACTTGGAGCAGGAGTGGCAAGCTCCTGGGGACAAGCTCGTTTTTTGGACCGGGTAGAATATTTTTTCAGGCGCCAATCTCTTTCTTGTTTTGGGCCCCCACATGGGTGGTCTGTCCTCAGGGGTGTCAGTGTTTTGGGGGTTCTCAGAGGTCTGAACTGGGGATGAGGGTGTTGGGAGGGCTGGGAATGCCATGACTCTCCCAGAATAGACCCTCGGGAGCTTGAGTTGGATTTCTTGGGGGACAGAGGGGCTGAAGACCCCACGCTGAGTTGAAGGGTTACAGCGAGATTCCCCACTTGAGACCCCCAGAGGGTCTATTCCCCTCTGTTGGCTTTGGGAGTCTTTTGACATGACCTCTCCACTGGAGGCTGGGGAGTTTGGGGGTCCTTGGTTCTGGCAGTGAAGGGCAGAGGAGACCTTTGGGAGCTGGGCTCCAGAAGGTGGAATCTAAATCCTCACCCCACAGAGCCAGGCTGTATCCATCTGCCCCCTCAAACTCTTCTCTCCGGCAGCTGACAGTGATATGCCTTAGTCTGTGGGGGTGGGTGGAGAGCTGGGCCCCACGTTCCTTTGTGATTTTGGACGTACTCTTAGGTCCCCCCTGGCCCCGGGCCGGTAGGACAGAGGGCCTGGTCCCCAACTCTTCTCAGCCCCACCCCCATCCAGGGGCCTGGTGAACCCTTTCCTGAAGGAGTTTCTGGGCAATGGTGGGGGGCAGCCATTCGGGGGGGCGGGACGGGCTGGCAAGAGGGAGGGCCTCCAAGGGGCTTGGCTTTACATGGGTGGGCGCCTCTCCCCTTCCCTCCGCCTGCCTGCCCCCTTCCTTGTATTTAATTAAATAAGCCCTTTTTTAACCCTCCCTCCTGCGTCTGTGGTTTTTCCCGTCGCTAGGCACCCCACATGCACAGCCCGTAGGCTGAGCCCCTCTGTCTTGCCCGCTTGTTTGTTGGGTGTGATGTGGGCTCCAAGGTCAGCAACCTTATGGGGAAACAGCTAAGGGAGTCGCTGGGTCTGGGGGTGGTTTTGACCAGGCCCTTCTGGCTAGGACTCAAAACAGCCACCCTCTCCCACCCTTATACAATAAGCAAGCTGCGGAGGCTCCCCCAGCTCCTGGCGCCCAGTGCCGCCCACGACTCACGCAGCTGTGCCCCCCGCCCGGGCTGCCCGCCCCGTTACCCAGCAACCAAGGCGCAGTGACATGGCGCCCGGGGGCGTCCGCTGCCCGCCCCTTTCCGGCACCTGCGGGGGTTGGGGGAGACCGTGCCCCTGGGGGCAGTTGGCAGGCACCATAGGGCTCCTCCCAGGAAGGTTCCCTGACCCTCACATCCCTCACCATCTATGTATGGCCAGCCGCCCAGCAGCTCCGGCTGTATTGCCAGCCCTGGGTAGCTCCCAATCGGAGGATTTAGGGCTGGAGGAGAAGAGCCCACCAGGTGGTATTAACCGCCTCCTAGGATCCCAGGAACCGCCCCCTGAGCCTGAGGACAGACCCCTGCCCCATGCACCTGCAGTCCGCGTGGGCTTGGTCTGTGCCGCCCAGGGAAGGTGACGACCGCGCCACCTGGTGGTCGTCCCTGGTGTTGCATTTTGCTCCGACTTCCTTAACGTCTAGGTCCAGTCCCTACCTAGCCTGGGAAACAGGGTTTCCACCCTCTCGCCTTTACTGGAAGACAGCCATCCCCTGCCTTCCCCCTCTTCTCTAGCTTAGCCCACTTCTCTCTTGTTTCCCAGCCCGCATCCATCTGTAAGAACAAGGCAACCCACCCCTCCAGGGCCTCTTCAATTCTCTACCCCTTTGCAGCAAAAACGCCTACAATGCATGGTCTACACTAGCAGCCTCTGCCCCCTCCCGTCATACAGCGGAAACTTACTCCCAGCTCCAAACTTGGGAAGATCCACTGGACCAGTCCTCAGCCCCCTCCCCATTCCTGGAGCCTGGGTCGGCACCACCCCTTACTGTTCATAGGGTGTTCGCCACTGAGAGCGCCAAAGGGCGCCTGTGAGCGCCTGAGTCTGTCCTCTCATCTGCCTACAACCCTCTAGGGTTCCCACCTCCCTCGGAGTACAAGTCTAAATCTCTGAGGTCTACAAGGCCCTGCCCTCCCCTCTCCCCTTCGCTAACTCAGCTCCAACCATATGGGCCTTCGCCTAGTCCTGCCTTAAGAGTCTTTGTACAAGCTGTTACATCACTTGGCATTTCCTCCCCCAAACGCCCACTTGGCTCCCTCCTTAACCATCTTTAAAACTACCACCTGGCAGGGGTGGGATGGGAATACCTCTGCTTTGTTTACTGATGCTTCTGGCCTTTTGCCTAGCACATAGTAGGTACTTCTCTACTCGGGAGACATTTTTTCCATGAATGAGCAAGACCACTCACTTGTACCCAGCTCAGAGATGATCTCATTTCACGTCCAATCATCATCAGGGACCACGTAAACCCCACCACCAGGATTCCAGCTCATAGCGCCCCCCATGGGACAGAGTGAAACTGCCCCCCGAGGATTTCTGAGGCTGTGAATCTTTACAGTAAGGAGCAGAGAGTCTAATCTTTCTCTCACGAAGCAGCTGGTGGGCTTAAACTGCCGACCTCCTTGTTAGCAGTTGAACGTTTATTCTACAATGCCATCTGCGCTCCTGGTTTGGGGGTTGTTGTTGTTAAGTGCCATTGAGTCGGTTCCGACCCATAGCGACCCTGTATAGGGTTTCCAAGGAGCAGCTAGCTGGTGAGCTTGAACCACCGACCTTGCAGTTCAAACAGCTTTGCAGTCTGGCGCATTAACCCACAGCACCACGGTTAGGGGTTGTTGTTGTTATGTGCCGTGGAGTTGGTTCCGACTCATAGCCACCCTGTACAGGGTTTCCGAGGCTGTAAATCTTTACAGGAGCAGAAAGCCTCATCTTTCTCTCGCGGAACAGCTGGTAGTTTCGAACTGCCAACCTTGCGGTCCACAGCCCAATTCGTAACCACTACACCGAGAAGCTGGGTTCTATGGGGAAAAAAAACGTGGCATCAGAATTGGAGAAAGGCTCATTAACAACCTGAGACATGCAGATGATACAACCTTGCTTACTGAAAGCAAAGAGGACTTAAAATACTTGCTGATAAAGATCAAAAGATCACAGCCTTCCTTTGTACGGGTTGCACCTTAATGTAAAGAAAACAAAAATCCTCACCACTGGATCAATGAGCAACATTCATATGGAGAAAAGATTGAAGTTGTCAAAGACTTCATTTTGCTTGGATCAACCATCAACACTCATGGAAGCAGCAGTCAAGAACTCAAATGACGTATTGCATTAGGCAAATCTGCTGCACAAGACCTCTTTAAAGTGTTGAAGAGCAAAGATGTCAGCTTGAGGACTAAGGTGAGCCTGACCCAAGCCGTGGTATTTTCAATAACCTCATATGCATGTGAAAGCTGGACAGTGAATAAGGATGATCGTAGAAGAATTGATGCCTTTGAGTTCTGGTGTTGGAGGAGAATACTGAAAGTGCCATGGGCTGCCAAAAGAACCAACAGATCTGTGTTGGAAGAAGTGCAGCCAGAGCGCCCCCTGGAGGCCAGGATGGCCAAACTTGGTCTCTCATACTTCCAACATATTATCAGGATGTCCCTGGAGAAAGACATCATACTTGGTGAAGTGGAGGGTCAGAGAAAAAGCAGAAGACCCCCAACAAGATGGACTGACACAGTGGCAGCAGCAATGGGCCAACATAAAACCAACCGTAGTAACGATTATAAGCTTGGCCCAGGACCACCCAGCAGCCACAATGGTAGAAAAGCTTGAAGGGATGAGGTCTCAGACTCTACTGCCCGCAGGCTAGGAGAGACAACTGGAGGACTGGGAGTTG